ATTTGTTTAAATTGCTTCACTTTTTGCTGATAGCCGAAAAAAGCAAAAATTTTCCGTTTTTTGAACTTAATTTGTTAATAACTAATTTAGTCTAAAAAATCGACTGCAGGAAACATATAGGTTTTTATTACACAGGTCCACACTACTCAAAACAACTATCGGTTGCCTGGCCGGACGAGTGTCAAAAACAGGGTACTTTTTTTTGCTTATTTCCCTGGCCTATCTGTTTGCTTCCGTTCTTCATGACTTGTTTTGTCGTCGAGCTTAAGTTCTCCAAGGAGGAACAGAAAACGTTTATATCCTACATATACATATAGATGCCGGAAATGTTTGGATTTCCACATCTCTTTAAAATTAGTATGGCTTAACTTTTGTATACTAAAAAGGAAGAAGATTCCAAAAAGTGCAAAATTTTCATCTGGCGTTAATAATTTTGCATCTCTGTCCCTTTGTGTACGATGTTACACTTTCTATTATTTCTTTGGTGAAATATTAAAAAAATACACTTAGCTCGAACATTTTCTGCATCGACTGTAGGTCGCAGAAAAATTTTCAAAGATTTTCTGAGGGAGTTTTAACAAATTTATTTACACTAGGATATTTATTTCACACCATATTTGCGTCGCGACTTATAAACGTATGTAATTTTAAAATACTCTTTGAAATACTTCTTTATCACCTTCCTGCTCTGAAGTGGAATCACGGTCACTGTATTTTACACATTCATAGTATTCATAATATTTATCAGGACACCATACACGAAACAATATTGCGTGCAATGGATGAAAAAGCTAACACGACCTTTAATGGAATAAGGAAACATTTCAACAGAAAGTTAACAGAGAAAACATAATATGACGAAAACGTAAAAATGGTACACAGACGGCCAAAACACCAAATAACTAGATATAGGTTCGCCCCATAAAATATATTTACTAGACCAATGTCAAAACACGCGGAGTAGAAAAAAAAAGAGCTGGCTAAGGCGTTTAACTAATTGTAGAAGTTTAAATGTCGGAGCAACCTCACCAAAAAAGTATATACTAGCTTTAGTTAAAATCTATTACCGCGATGATTTTCTAATTTATCGAGAGAGTACTGATCGGGCTTACACCCACACTTACTAAACACTAGTACAAAAGGCCCGTCAGGCACTTTTATACAGTCACTTAGGCTACTTGGCTCATAAGGCAGGCCGATTGGGCGGCCTATTCGCGAAATCTGAGCATTGAGACCATGTGCGGCATACATCGGTTCGATGGCCAGACCATTCGGATGCCCACCTGTTGAGGAGACCAAAATCTTTTGCCAAATCGGCAGCTGAGTGTCCGAACACACAATGCCCGGGCGGAGAGACTTCAACCCAGGTTTGTATATCGTCGCTCGAGACACACACTATAGGGACCTCAGTCTAGAAGTCATGACTTCAACAAAGTAAATTCAGTAGTGTAAATAGGGAAAAAAGCTGAAAGCTACCCCTAGAGCAAGGTGGCATCACCACAACCATGTAAAATGGACGGTGTTTTTTTCCCAAATCGCCCGACGTAATAGTTCAAGCCCCCTTTGCGTATGCCAAACGTAAGGGAGGGGTGGTGGCAAAAACTTGGGACTCAGATAGGTACCGAGCCAAAATGACACGCTCTTTTGGAACGAGACCGGTTTAATCTTCGGACATGGAGGTCCCACTGTATAGCAGTGGTACACTCATGTTCCTAGGGGTTGGGATAAACTCGTGTATGTGTGTGTGTGTATCTGTTTGTCGGACGCATCGGGATCAATGACATCCATGTCTTCATCATCAGATTGTTCCATTATTTTTTTCTCTATCTTCTCTACTCATCGTTAGTAAGTGTTTTCATATAAGTTTATGGTACGTTAGACCTCAAATAAATAATTACAGCATAATAAACTATACTTAAACTTAATTATTTGTTCCGATAACGGCGATAACCAAAACATTATTGTTACTTACATAGTGTACTTTATGCATCACTTAGTAACACACATCAACAATGACGTCAATTCTACTACTAAATTTGTAGTGAGGAAGATATATACGTTTATACTTAGAAGAATGTGTGTGTAACGAGAACGTTACTGTAACATTCCGTAAACATTTCTTAAATCAATTTTAAAATCTCAATCCTCTTAATGATTTTCTGAATCTTAAAATTTAAGTTGGTATGAAACAGCGACACCAAGCGTCCAAGTTTGAAATCATATTTTAGCTAGCTCAAAAAGAGTAACCGAAGCGCACTTCTGTTTGAACTTTGGTGGCAGAAACTTGAGTCCAAGGTAGGGGCCAGAAGTGGCGTGGCTTTTGGAATTTAAGAGTTTTTTTATGAAGAAGTAATAGGAAGTTTTAGTTTGGGGTTTTTTTTTGTTTGGAGTGTCCTGTTTGGTTTATAGCCACTGTGAGCCGTAAGTATCAAAGTTATAAATAAAACAAAAATAAAAAAAGTCATCAGCCATTTTGAGATCCTGTATTGTCACGTTTCAATTCAATATACTTATCTGAACTTTTTCCATCCGTCATTAAGAAATATTCAACATCTGAATAGAAAGTGTTAATTGATTTAAAATCATATGTATTTTAATTTTACTTCCCGGCCGTAAAACATAATTATCTATCTATATAATGTATCCATTTAAATGGTATATAATAATCCATTAATTAATCCATTTAAATTGTCAAACCAAACGACGGTCAAATTATCTATCAAACCATTAAGTTTTTTTGCTCTCCCAATGTATAAGTAACATTTATAAAACCCTGCAAGGTTCATAAACCTTGTTTTTTCCTACTCTGTAAAGTATAAGAAAGAAATGTTTTTTTAGCCTACCTTTGGGATTCAAACAGAAGTCGGGGGAAGAATTTGCTTTTGTTTTTTTTTTTTTTTAATAATTTGAATAAGAAGTACCTATTAAGTTGAAACCTAGTCCGGTTATACCTGGTTCCAGGCCTGTTTTTTTTTCCTTGCCATAGCTGCTCCCCAGAGGTCCAGATCTGACCTTCTAATTATAAAACAAATTTTAGGAAACCAGCGGGAATTATCTTCCTTAAAATATAGTAAATCTGGATTAAGTTTATTTCTTAGATTTATTTTTTTTTACCCATAATATTTTTTGTATAATTTTTTTGTATATTTAACTTCTAGTATTTCATCTAATAATAAGAGTCGTCATTTTTTTAATAATTTACTGAATAATATTTAAATACAAATTGTCAACTACAGGTAGAGGTTTTTAAGTCCTCCCTTCTAACTCACTTTTATGGTTTCTTGTGTACACATTTAATCAGAGAGTTATTTTTTTTAGATTTTATTATCAATTTATATTTAAACCTTTGGACACTCTCGTCAAGATAGTGTCCTTATTACTTGTTACTGTTATATTCAATAAAGCCAGAATACAGAGTTGCATCTCTGAGGCAAATAAATTACCTTTTTAGGTCAATTATTACCATTTTTTTCCATATTTATTATTTGTAAATTTAGATCATCCAGGATCAGTTGTATAACCAGGGCATTTATTTTTTTTTTGTATATAACTAGATTAGCTGTACATAAATGGTGGTGGGTATATTAAATTTAGATTGTATATATTTGGCTAGGGATTAAAGTTTTGGTAAGAACTAAATATTTCAATTTATACCTATATCCTTTCTTTATTTCAGCAAACAGCTTTACAAGATACCTTGGAAAATTTATACTTCATCTAATTTAGATAACGACTTACGTCATTATCTACGTCAGAGATCGAAGTTGACATAGTTGCCAAAATATAAAAAAATCCTGACTCCATTTTAAATCAAATAGATTACATAACTATTGCAAAAGTATTACCATCTCTTTACAACGATTATTTAAATTTTTTACGTGATATTTTTGAAATAAAACACATAAATTTTGTTCTATAAAGAACAGATTTTATTAAATAGTTAAAAATATAAAACAAGAGATATTTAATTTAAAATTCAAAATAATGAAGTACAAAAAGTGTCAACACCGCAACTGTCAAATAAATGTTACCAATTTATGCCAAAATTTTACCTTTGTTCGATTACAGTTACAGTGTGTTCCGAACAAATGCTTTTGATAAAAACGATTTATAATGCATTTAGACTAATTAAATGAAACATATTATTGTGTATTTCTTTAAGTTAACATTAATAGAAATTTTTAAATAATATTTCTACGCGTATATAATAAAATATGTCTAGTGGCTGTAATGCCAGTGTACTCGGTAAAGTGATTCTAAAAAAGAACACACCTACACCCTTAATATTTTGTGTTGGTATCATGTGACGTCACAGGCAATGACGCCGATGACGTGCATCGTTATATAAATTAGATGAAGTGTATGTAAATACTTTCCTGGCGCCCACTCACTTTGGAGCAACTTCTACAGTCACTTTTAAGTATCTTAGTTACATACCTATAGATTTTTTTTATAACCTTGTCATTCATTTTCTAATTCTACGGTCTCTGTAGGGCATGCAAATTGGCCGAATTCTCCTTTGAGTGTCAAGTAGTCACTCTCCGGCATCTTCTGCTAGTCAGCTTAAATTATACGTTATCCTTTCCATTATCCTACACGTTTTGTTACAGTGTGGTAGGAGGATACAGGAGCGGCCTTGCCTATTTAACATCTGGATGTAAATGACGCTTTAAATAAGAATAGCGTACTGTTTACGCCTTAGCAACCACTTAAGGGTTAATAATTTTTAAAAATTTAATTTTTTTAAAGGTATTCACCTTTAACGTTTAAAATCATACAGCGGTGTATCAATTTTACACTGTTGATAAATAAAGAATGACGTTTAGATTTTTTGCATTTTTTGTTTATTATAATATTGTTATCACTAAATTTATCCAAAGCAGTTGTTGGGTACCTGTATTAACAAAAGTCACGGGAAAATCATTAGTTCTCTGGTGCATTTAACTATATTTAGAAAATCCCTTTTTATTGCATAATTTATAAAACAATTCTATTTTTAGCTAATGAGGTAAGAGACTGTTACAAAAAAGTGGAGAGAAGTAGAGTGGGAGATACATATAGGCAATGTGTTGAACAAGCTGCGGCGGGAGTAGATAAAGACGAGCTTCCTCATAGTAAAGCTGAAGCATGTCGGTAAGTTAGAATGTAACATTACTAAAATAAAAATATTTATAAAAATTACGATTGGTCGGATCAGTATTTAACCCAGTTGTTGCACTTATTTTTAACATATTAAGTGACTATTTTTTAAAAACAATACAGCCATTTTTATAAATCTAACGCGATTAATTTCTTCAAGAACCCCCTCTGTGGCTCAGTAGTAAGAGCGCCTACCTTTGAACCTAAAGGTCATGAGTTCGAATCTCACCTGGGTGGAGAAATTCTTGTATATTAAAAATTAATAAATGAAAATAATTTCTACCCTTGTGCGATCGGTACTCACCGGAGGGACCGCAGACGTTCGGATACAATTAGCGTCTCTTAGCAAAGACAATGACGTCAACTGTGCTAAGTATCAAGACAATTACTTTACACACACACACACACACACACACACACACACACACACACACACACACACACACACACACACACACACACACACACAACACACACACACACACACACACACACACACACACACACACACACACACACACACACACACACACACACACACACACACACACACACACACACACACACACACACACACACACACACACACACACACACACACACACACACACACACAACACACACACACACACACACACACACACACACACACACAACACACACACACACACACACACACACACACACACACACACACACACACACACACACCACACACACACACACACACACACACACACACACACACACACACACACACACACACACACACACACACACACACACACACACACACACACACACACACACACACACACACCACACACACACACACACACACACACACACACACACACACACACACACACACACACACACACACACACACACACACACACACACACACACACACACACACACACACACACACACACACACACACACACACACACACAACACACACACACACACACACACACACACACACACACACACACACACACACACACACACACACACCACACACACACACACACACACACACACACACACACACACACACACACACACACACACACCACACACACACACACACACCACACACACACACACACACACACACACACACAACACACACACACACACACACACACACACACACACACACACACACACACACACACACCACACACACACACACACACACACACACACACACACACACACACACACACACACACACACACACACACACAACACACACACACACACACACACCACACACACACACACACACACACACACACACACACACACACCACACACACACACACACACAACACACACACACACACACACACACACACACACACACACACACACACACACACACACACACACACACACACCACACACACACACACACACACACACACACACACACACACACACACACACACACACACACACACACACACACACACACACACACACACACACACACACACACACACACACACACACACACACACACACACACACACACACACACACACACACACACACACACACACACACACCACACACACACACACACACACACACACACACACACACACACACACACACACACACACACACACCACACACACACACACACACACACACACACACACACCACACACACACACACACACACACACACACACACACACACACACACACACACACACACACACACACACACACACACACACACACACACACACACACACACACACACACACAACACACACACACACACACACACACACACACACACACACACACACACACACACACACACACACACACACCACACACACACACACACACACACACACACACAACACACACACACACACACACACACACACACACACACACACACACACACACACACACACACACACACACACACACACACACAACACACACACACACACACACACACACACACACACACACACACACACACACACACACACACACACACACACACACACACACACACCACACACACACACACACACACACACACACACACACACACACACACACACACACACACACACACACACACACACACACACACACACACCACACACACACACACACACACACACACACACACACACACACACAACACCACACACACACACACACACACACACACACACACACACACACACACCACACACACACACACACACACACACACACACACACACACACACACACACACACACACACACACACACCACACACACACACACACACAACACACACACACACACACACACACACACACACACACACACACACACACACACACACAACACACACACACACACACACACACACCACACACACACACACACACACACACACACACACACCACACACACACACACACACACACACACCACACACACACACACACACACACACACACACACACACACACACACACACACACACACACACACACACACCACACACACACACACACACACACACACACACACACACACACACACACACACACACACACACACACACACACACACACACACACACACACACACACACACACACACACACACACACACACACACACACACACACACACACACACACACACACACACACACACACCACACACACACACACACACACACACACACACACACACACACACACACACACACACACACACACACACCACACACACACACACACACACACACACACACACACACACACACACACACACACACACACACACACACACACACACACACACACACACACACACACACACACACACACACACACACACACACACACACACACACACACACACACACAACACACACACACACACACACACACACACACAACACACACACACACACACACACACACACACACACACACACACACACACACACACACACACACACACACACACACACACACACACACACACACACACCACACACACACACACACACACACACACACACACACACACCACACACACACACACACACACACACACACACACACACACACACACACACACACACACACACACACACACACACACACACACACACACACACACACACAACACACACACACACACACACACACACACACACACACACACCACACACACACACACACACACACACACACACACACACACACACACACACACACACACACACACACACACACACACACACACACACACACACACACACACACACACCACACACACACACACACACACACACACACACACACACACACACACACACACACACACACACACACACCACACACACACACACACACACACACACACACACACACACACACACACACACACACACACACACACACACACACACTACCCTAGGTACCTGACTGTAAAAATTCAGTGTAACATGCCAATGACCATTAGTTGTCGACGCATTAAACCCAATAAAAAAAAATGCTCAATATATATGGTACATAATTATTATTTGTAATTAATGCATATAGTCTAGGAGCTAGGGAAAGGTTGGGTGTACACTTTTAGGTCCCCTCAGTAGCTTGACGTTTTTTAATGTTTTTTGGTGCGTAGATTGAATTTTTCGAACGTTTTATACTGAAAACCCGTCGGATAATTTGGTATTAACAATTTAATTATTTAAGTTATTGTATCTCATAAACTATTACAGATATTTAATTTCATCAAAATGAAAGTTGTACCTTTTGAAAAAATGAACAAAATGGCATATGGTAAGCTGTGATTTGATTGTTAGAACCAGAGTTGTAACAAATTTCTTGAAAAACTGTTGCAAAATATGCATTCGATGTGGCTTTTCCAAGTATAACTTATGATATGATCGCCAACATTCGATAATCGGACAGGTTACTGAAAGAAGAAGTGGCGACAGGGAGTCTGTGTATATTGCTTGGTTTTTTTCACCTATTTTTAGTTTTTTAAAAGCTTCAAAAAAAAATAGCAGGCAAACGCAGTTCAGAAAGAAGATGAACCTCATGGTTGAAGAACTTGCGAGATTGGCATGGTGTTGATACAAGCATGCTATTTAGGGTGGCAGTGTATAAAATTAAGATAGCTATGCTGGTAAAACATCATATATGATAACGGCACACTTTTGGAGGCATCTGTATAAATAATTTTTTGGAATTGGTTCTTGCTTATAATTTCTTCGAAGTGTAGCCTTATGAGAAGGCTTGAGATTTTATGTTTACTGTATTCTAATAGAGAAGTTATTGAATGTGGGATTGGTTTATTGCAAGGCGGAGTATACGGGATTGGGACGGGATGTGTTTTATTAATGTCGATGGTTTTTATTAGAGTTGATTTCTGGATGTCTGTTATTAATTAGATGGTTTACGGGGCCTCCCGAGGCGATAGTAAAGTAGTTAAATGGTAGACTAGATTGGATGGATTTGCAGATACGAAAGAAAAGTAATATTGAAGAAGATACTCTTGTCGAATCTAAAGAGGTGGTTTATTAGCCTCGCAGTGAAGGCTGTCTATGGAACTAGATTATAAAGCGCATAAACAAAGACGAATAGAAGTGTTACAGACGTGTTTCATACATATGTATGAACCTGCAGTAGTTCAGTTTTGAGAGGACTAAAGCTCTCTCTCTCTCTATATATATATATATATATATATATATATATATATATATATATATATATATATACATATATATATATATATATATATATATATATATGTATATGTATATATATATATATATATATATATATATATATATATATATATGTATATGTATATGTATATATATATATATATACTTCTAGCGGTTAATGTAGGCTCCGTACTAAAACGGTATTATACTAACTCCAGTAGAATATACACCGTGTATATTATTATCTGAGTAGCGCTTTATGTAGACTCC